AAGTAGTGAATTAACTAGTTTTGTGTACAACATTATTTTTAAACTAGAGTCAAATGTAGCAATTAATAAAAAATTGTAAAAAACTAGTTAAGTATTTATCTAACTATTAATTCGAGTTATAGCAAATTAAGTAGTGAAATAACTAGTTTTGTGTACAACATATTTTATAAACTAGAGTCAAATGTAGCAATTAATAAAAAATTGTAAAAAACTAATTAACTATTTATCTAACTATTAATTCGAGTTATAGCAAATTAAGTAGTGAATTAACTAGTTTTGTGTACAACATATTTTTTAAACTAGAGTCAAATGTAGCAATTAATAAAAAATTGTAAAAAACTAATTAAGTATTTTTCTAACTATTAATTCGAGTTATAGCAAATTAAGTAGTGAATTAACTAGTTTTGTGTACAACATTATTTTTAAACTAGAGTCAAATGTAGCAATTAATAAAAAATTGTAAAAAACTAATTAAGTATTTATCTAACTATTAATTCGAGTTATAGCAAATTAAGTAGTGAATTAACTAGTTTTGTGTACAACATATTTTATAAACTAGAGTCAAATGTAGCAATTAATAAAAAATTGTAAAAAACTAATTAAGTATTTTTCTAACTATTAATTCGAGTTATAGCAAATTAAGTAGTGAATTAACTAGTTTTGTGTACACCATTATTTTTAAACTAGAGTCAAATGTAGCAATTAATAAAAAATTGTAAAAAACTAATTAAGTATTTATCTAACTATTAATTCGAGTTATAGCAAATTAAGTAGTGAATTAACTAGTTTTGTGTACAACATATTTTATAAACTAGAGTCAAATGTAGCAATTAATAAAAAATTGTAAAAAACTAATTAACTATTTATCTAACTATTAATTCGAGTTATAGCAAATTAAGTAGTGAATTAACTAGTTTTGTGTACAACATATTTTTTAATAAAAAATTGTAATTCCAACTATATTAATAAAAAATCGTAATTCCAACTATATTAATAAAAAATCGTAATTCCAACTATACTAATTAACTAGTAATTAAACAAGTGTAAATAATAGAATAATTTCGTACCTCTTTCGGACTTTCGGTCTTTCGGATGGGAGTAATAGAATGACTTCAAATTAATTAGATATAATTCCAACTATATTAATAGATATAATAAATATATAAGTAATATATAATTAGATAACAAATATAAGTAATATAATACTATTTATATCTATTTATAATTTATATAAGTAGATAATTAATATAAACTATAAATAATAAATATAATATATTGGAGAATGGAGAATAAGAGAATTAGAGAGTAGAGAGTTAAGAATAGGATTTAGGAAGAATTGGAGAAGAGATATGAAAAAATGTTAAAGATTAGGAGTATTTATAGGTTTTTTTACCCCCCACCCCCCCACCCCCACCACCCAACCCCCCCGGACCCCCCCTATAACCCACCCCCAATGGCTAGTAGGAGCCCAACCCAAAAAAACTTTTTTTTTAAAAAATTGATCGAACCGGACCCGGGCCCGGACCCGACCCGGCCGGGCCCGACCCGGCCGGGCCGGGTCACAAAAATGCTGAACCGAACCCGCCCCGCCCCTTCCCCCCGCTTCGGGCCCAGACCCGGTCCCGGACCGCCCGACCGGGCCGGTCCCGTGCCCGCACAGTACCGGGCCGGTCCCGGGCCCGCACAGTACCGGGCCGGTCCCGGGCCCGCACAGTACCGGGCCGGTCCCGGACCCGCACAGTACCGGGCCGGGCCGGGTCACGGGCCGGGTGGCCCGAACCGAATCCATCCCTAATTATGCTTTTGTTTCTTTTCTGTTAGGGGTGGACCTGGTCGGCGGTCCCGAACCGAAACCGGACCCGCTACTATGCGGGACCGGACCGGGTACCTGACCGGGTAATTCAGACTTAGTCTTGGGTCATAAAATGGGGACCGGACCGTGCAGTTCCGGTTCCGGTCCCAATGGCTGATTTATTTTTAAATTTAGGGGGGGGGGTCGGAACTGGGTCCGTTGAAACCTGGGTCAGTTCTGGTCTTAATTAATGTTCGGGACCACCCGGTTCGGAATCGGGACAGGATCAGGATTGGATCCATCCCTAGTTTCTGCTTTCCAAAGGAGTAGAAACAGTTTAAGATGTACATATATGCGGAATATATGTCAAGTTAATACGGAGTAATACGGAGTACAACAATATGATTGCATGATGACATTAATTTACCTCTATATTCTCATAATCTCAACTTAAACTTTTCACTTCCTTTTTTGAACGCCCGACTTATGTTTCTCATTTATGTTTTAGAAAATATTGAAACTAATTCAACATGAATTTGTATGCATAACTTTAAGTAAATATTCAAGATGTTGGTGTATTGAATTACTAATAAACTTAAATATATTAGTTTAAGTGCAAAAGTACTTTTGAGGACTCCAAATGTTCTTAGAAACAATTTTTTAGAAGTTGGGTCAGACTAAAATTTGAAAACTGATTATGATTTTATTTTTGCATTAAAAAAATAGAAGCAGAATCAATTTCAAACACCTCCATAATAATGTATGAGGCTATTCTTCAATTGTTGATTTTTAATACTCCATTTGTATATAAAATATTACAAATTTCATTGGTCATTTGTACTATTAAATAGTAGATCTTCAAGACTTCAACTCTATTTTATAAATTGTTGGGGAATACAAACCCGTCTTTTTACAAAATTACGAGCTCATAGGATTGATATATACTCACGTGTAGGGGCCGGTCCGGTTCCGGTTTCGGGCCGGGCCCGGGCGGGCTTTTTTTGCAAATCCTTGGGCCCGGAACCGGCCCGGGTTGATACCGGGTCTGGGCCTAACCGGGCCGGGCCGGGTCCGGTTCAATGTCTATTTTTTTTGCTTTCTTGTTATCCCCCGACCCCCCCACCCCCACCCCTAAACATCCCCAAAACACCCAGCCTTACCCTAGGAAAAGAAAAAAATTGAAAAAAAAAAAAATTGACCCGGGTCCGGCCAGAACCGCCCGGACCGGTTCGCCCAAAACTGGGCCCGAGCCCGGCCCGCCCGACCCGCCCAAACGGGCTAAAAGTCCGGAACCGGCCAACCGGTCCCGGTTCGGTTTGGACCCGCACAGTAGTGCGCCGGCCCGGCCCGGTTTAATCCATCCCTACTCACGTGACACTTGTAACACCAAGTGACACTCGTAACACCATGAATGAATTTGACAATGGCTTTGAATAATTTTAGAAACTAGTAAGTAATATTGTAATAACTCACACTTCACTTTCTGTATTTGTCTATTTGATACTACTTCATTCGATCTCACTCGCTTACTTTTATGAGATTTTTTAGTCAATTATCAAAATAGGACTAAAAGTCACTCACTTTGAACAAATAGGATCACAAAATAAATTATGTTTTCATAAGATTAATTATGCGTGTCTTGGACAAATATACCCTTATAGCTATTGAAATGTTTTAATTCATAATAAAAATATAAAAAATAATAAAAATACTAAAAAAGTAATAAAAATATTTCCGATAATAATATTTTTTTTATTTTTTTTAAAAATTAATAGATAAAAAAAAATCACCGACGCCTCTGCACCACCACCTCCAGCCACCAGGGAAAAAAAATGCCAAATTCATTACGAATGCCTTATTTATGGCAGAAAACAATGAAAATGTTGGCATTCTCAAAGAGAAATATGCCATTTTTTGGCATATTCATAAAAAATGGCAGTTTTTAGGAAAAATGACATTTTTTCACCGATCGTAGGTGATGGTGCAGGGAGGTAGTATAGGCGGTGGGAAAGGCATCCATATTTTTTAAATTTTTTATGGAGTTTTACTATTTTTTATTAATTTGTTTTTTTTTAAATTAATATTTTTTTTTTTGAATTTTTTTTTTATAAATCTTTATAATTTTTTAATTATTTTTCTACGAATTTTTGAACTTTTTTCGAATTTATTATGAATTAAATATTTAATTATGACTTTTAACTATTTTTAACTCACATTTAAAGGAAGAGTAACAATGGAATGAAAAAACAGGTGTGTTTTCAATAGGACTAATATGGTCCTATTTTGATAAAAAAACATATCAAGTCGTATTTTGAGTTTTTATCATAATTTTAGTCCTATTTGGATTAATTTCTATTTTTTTTTGGATTGCCTCTCTCTCAACCTCAAGTATCTCTCTAACTTACATTTATGAGAAATCTTTTTCGATTGCCTTCTTTCACTCTCCAGGATGCTCTTGACTCTTGAAACATTCTTTTGTTCTCTTTTCTTGAAGGTTCTTGAACACTCGTTGCTCTAGGAGCTCTCCTCAAAGTTCAATGAAAAGCCTTGAGAGCTCCATTTATACTAATTTTTATAGCAATAAACTAGTTTTCTCAAGAACTTTTTATTCCCCTATACATTTTTAGTCTTACAAGACGCGCAAGTTTCAAGTCATTGAATAGAATATAGAGAATTTCACATTTCATTAAAATATTCTTGATGCTTCCACACACTTCTATACAATTCTAAGGGAGTGTTTGGATCTGATTCTTAAAACTGCTTGTGCTTTTTCAGGGTGCAGAAGCAGAATTTGGAGTGTTGGGTTGAAAGTAGAGAAATACTTCTGGTGCTATAATTTACTTCTAGAAATAGTTCTTTTAGAAGCTCTGGGAGAACAACTTCTGAAAAACTGATTCTACTTATTTAAACTGAAAAACTGATTCTACTTATTCTTTAAAAAAAGTCCTAACATTCTGGGGGACCCAAGTACCCAACATAAACCAATAGGGAGCACTGGACTATATAATACCGGTAGAACTTTTAGCCGTTGGAGGTCGGACTGGCGGAAAATTGAACCAGAAACTAGTTAAAAGTGAGCCACTGGCATTAATCTTCCACCCTCGAGGCCTCGACTAATTTTGGCATGGTTTGGAACTAAAGAACTAAGCAAAAATATAATCTAAAAATGAAGTTGTAATAACAGCAATAACCAATAAAATAATATGTTAAATTGTACCCAAATCAAGTGGTTACATACTTTACTTCAAACTAAGTAAACACAGGACTGGAATGTGTGAGACTGATAGATACAAAAAAGAATAAGCGTGATTTTTAACTTATATACTACCACTACTGCCAAAGGTAATAATAGATTAAAAATAAGATGAGAAGACAGGAAGCTGCAAAGTAAAGAGAGCTGCTCCCCTTTAGTGTTACGGAGTATTTGGTAACAGCAAACTCCATTTAGTTAGTTGTTGATAGTTCGCAATGGCAATCTCTCTTCAGGCATTATGGAAGCTTCACCAGTCTTAGTTGGAGAAAGACTGTGAGTGTTCTCTTTCATGGGATGATCATTAGCCCATTCATCGAATCCTCCTCTGCTGCTGTTCTTCTCTACAATTCTTTCCAGTTTCTTACCCAGCTGTAGATCTTCCATCCACATTTGGCGCATCTTGTCTGACACCCCCACAAACTTTGACCTCAAGCTCCCGCAAACAACGAAATTGCTTTCGAGGTCTGAAGCGATTCCATCATTTTTCTCTTTCGACACCACTGTCTCTTTGACTGTCGTCTCCAGAATATCCACAAGTCTGCTCGAGAAGCTGCTGGTTGAATCCTGGAACTCCATTTCCAGTGTCCTCACAAGTTTCTGGAGATCATCTATTCTTCTGCAGTTCATCTCTTCTTCTACTTGTGTTAAAATAGCCTTTTCAAGTTCTTTCCTCAACCAGTCTTCTTCGAACCACTCAAACGTTTCCTGAAACGCCCTTTTCTTTATTTTCTCTTTGAGCTCATTTATTTCATCTTCCTTCTCTGCTAGAATCTGGATGAGGCTTTCTCTGTCCCTTCTCAGTTCAATCTCAACATCCACCTGATCAAACAGTGAAGCTTCCACTTCTCTCCGCATTTGGTGGTTTTCCTCCAGACTGGATTTTAGCCGTTCCGCTAAAGATCTCCATATCTGCAACTCAAACTCAATTTCCTTTGACTTGTAGAAGTTTTCCTCAAGTTCTTCGTTTGCTTCTTTGAGCTCACTATTTACTTCTTGCAGTTCACTGTTTGTTCTAACCAACTGCTCCATTGCTTCTTTGAGTGTTTCCTTGAGTATATCAGCCTCTATCTGTAATAGAATCTTTTGTTCTTCGATTGAATTCACAAAAGAATGGGAAGCTTGTAGCTCTTCATGAAGCATGGTTATTATATTGTCTTTGCTCTTTAACTTAGAAGCCCATTCAGCTTCTTTGGCCTTGAATTTGTTTTTGAGCTTAGATGATGAAGAATAAATTCCGGCTTCTTTGATTCCAGCTTCTTGAAGTTCTTTAAGAGATGCCATCAGCTCTTGATTCTCTCGTTCTAGCTTTCTGGATTTGTAATCCATCTCCTTGTATATTTTATCCTTTTGACTTGAGGCTTCTCTTGGCTTTTCAATTTCTTTATCCCTTTGATTGCTCAAGCTGATAATTCTTGACTTGGCTTCCTCATATTCTGCAGAAACATTGTCCAACCAGGTTTTAGATTCTAAAAGTTGAACTTCCATAGATTTTCTCCTGTTTTCTTCACTATCAAGAGCTTGTTTGCAGAAATGGAGTCTGGTTTGAAGGTCTTCTGAACATCTTGACTGGGACTCTAAGTTTACTTGCAAAGTCGAGATCTCCTCACACAATGTGTCTTTCTCCTGTTTCCATTCTTTCTCCTTTTGATGGAATTGTTTCCTAACCTTTTCATGAGCCTGAACTAGGAGGTCATATTTTTCCTTCTTCCATTTTAGCTCTTCTTCAAGCTTCATATTCTCCTGCTCTAGCTTCAACATCACATCATCTTTCTGTCTGAGTTCATTATAGACTTTTTTACCTTTCTTGACTTCAGAAGAAGTTTTCTGCGCAGAAGCCGTTGCCAAATCCCTCAGTCTTTCAATTTCATCTCTAAAAGACTCAATTTTTTGTTCTTGATCCATATTTCGTGCATTTGCCTCATCTAAAGCCATTGATATACTTGTGTTGGCCTCTTCAAGTTCCTTGAGCTTCTGGACAGAATCTGTGCGAAGCCTATCATTGGCTAGACTTAGATGTGTTATGGCAGATTCTTTCTCTTTGACATTTGACTTCAGCTCTTCATATCTTTGATTTGATAGAGAGAGTTCTTCTACTTTCGTGTTGAACAACAGTGTTATCTTAGCCAGTTCAGAAGTTAAAGTCTGAGACTTGATCAGTTGCTCATTATAAGCTCTTTTGAAACTCTCACATGATTCTGCTTTGATTTTATTCTCTGTTTCGAGCTTCTCAATTTCAGCAAAGGCTTCATCTAGTTGCTCATGCAATGCACCCATTCCTCGTACTCCGTATATATTAAGAATATATAGTAATCTATCTTTAAATTTACACTCCACCTGCTCAAATACAAGTCAATAGTCAAGAAACATTAACAAGTAGTCCTTAAAATAGGTCAAACTGATATTAAAATATAACACATTTTTCAAAATAAGTCCATCCTCTTGTTTTGTGTTGAAACTTAAGTACTCTTTTGTTAAAAGGTAATCTAACCTCTACAGTTCTTCTTCTAGGTTTTCTCGGGTTTCCAAAATTCTTCCTATTTCCACTACTTTTCTTCCCAACTGTTTATTCCTTGTTCACTACTTCACTCTTATCACCTTGGATGGCGCACATTCATAAAAATTGGTGCTTAACCGTCACCTGATCTGAAGATTATTGAAGTAATTTGTTAAATCTTAGACCTAATTTGAAATATTTCTGATATTTCAATTATGGATACGCATATATTTATCTATGGAACATGAAATCTTTCTCATAACCGTTTCAGGAGTACACAGAAGAAACTGTATGTTTATAAGCTGCAACTTTATATAATCCAGAATCCTATTTAACATCAACCTGAACATGTAATTTATGTCATTATGCAATAAACTCACTATTTCATAGCGGACCAAATTTCTACATTTTCTATGCGGCCATAAGCATTGTAACAAAAATTAGAAGAAGAGTACCTGAAGAAGGTTCGAATCGGGTTATCTTTTGCAATAAAAATGATTTGTTTGGAACTCCAGAGAGCTTTGAGAGCTTCGAAGTAAGGAAGGAAACGGTTTGGTGGTTTCAGAAGAGGAGATCAGATAGATAGCCGTTGTAAAGCCGTTAGACGAAGTTTTAAATTTCCCTCAGGAAGGAAAAAGTCATTATGGCCGTTTTACGTCTTACGGGCCGCGGATATTCAGTGATGGGCTTTATGGACTCACTGAAGGCCCACATTTAATTTACTGTATGTTTTTGGGTTTCGTCCACATCCCAAACCCAAAAACCCTCCTTCAATTTTCATTCTCTGCAGGTGGGACTGAAGCAAACCTTCTGGTAAAAATGGCAATCGCTGCGGTCTCCGCCGCTACCAGATCGATTTTCCGGTCGTCTGTTGCTCGTAGCGCTGCCGCAAGGATTGCGTCAGAGTCCAAATCTGCTCGAGCCCCCTTTCGCATCGCTTCCAGAAGTAATCTAGCTCCACGCATCTTCAGGTACTGTTCATTGTCATATTTGGAGACGATTATGTGAGTTTGAGATATAGAGAATTTACTCAGCAGTTACTTTGATTATGAAGGTGTCCAGCTGAGTTGAGCGCCTGTGCGTCGTTGCAGCCTTATCACACGGCTACTGCCTCGGCTTTGATGACCTCAATGCTTACAGTTGATCCCCGCAGCTTTGGTTGGCTCTCCGAAGGTTAATATTCCCAAGGTTTTGCATTGTCTTATTATATAGTTGGTTTTTCAAGATTAGTTTCCAAATGTTGTCTCAGTGCTGATTTGCTTGCAAGCTGAATGGATTCAATCTTCTTGTTCTGTGTATGATTTGAATAATGTTGGTTTAGTCTGTCTGTACTTGGGACATGTTCATCTTAAATATAGTGTTTAACTGTTTTTAGTGCTCAAAAATATATTTTGGCAAAAACACAATTTTCAATAGATCATCATTGGCTTCCATTGTAATATTATTATGCACAAATTAAATAACAGTCTTAATCTAAAACCCAGACTATAACTTAACTGGTTTGATTTAAAGAATGTTCAGTGACTCCATAAGTTTTCTTATGGAGTTGGCTGATTTGACTAATATTGGCCTTTTGACCAGATCAATAAGCTAAGAAAAGTGTCTGATTAAATAGCTTTTTCATTTGGTTTTTTTATCCTGAACAGCCAAAATAGAAAATGCTATACTATGTAGCTTTTAGGTACGGCTTTTCCTTATTTTTCCTTGACTACCCACGCAGCCCATGCCCCTTACTTTGCGCATCTGCCTCCTCCCAGTCTTCCACTCACCGAAGAGAAAAACAACAATGCACTATGCAGGAAGCAAGCATGCATTTAATAAAATATCATTTTCTATCTTTTCTTAAAGTCATATGAAGAACAGAAGAAGGTTCAAGTTTAGTGCATTTTTTTGGCAAAAAGTTTTGTGCATTTATTAAAATATGCTATGTACTTTTTTAAGTAAAAAAAATACTAATACTAATACTAATATTAATTATTATTATATTATTTTTATTGAAGCTAAAAATTAATTGATGTCCTTAATAGTCATTTAACAAGCAATCAGCTGAGTGTAAATGGTCACTTAACCAAACACTATTTTACGAAATGCTAATATTATCAGCTAATCAAAACAGCCAACAGAATCCGTTTTTATGAATCAGCCAACACAATCATCTAACAGCCAACAACCAATAGCCAAACACCGCCTTAGTAATTTTTTATAGCTACAGTAAATTTGAATGTTTTAACTTTTTGATAGTAAATTGTGAGCCCAGTATTCACCACATCTAGTTCAAACACATTTGAAAGTTAAAACTTTTTCACTTTCTCCGTTCTTTGCCAAGGATTGTGGGTTCTTTGCTTTTCTTTTCTACTACGTATTAGTAAGTCAAATACTCGGTTTTCCTCAGTACGGAATGTAATCCATCTTCCTGAGTCTTTCAGTTTTTAATTTCATCACCCATGTCCCATGGTGTATATATTATTTAAACTCATTTTTCATATAAGCTGTTTTTTTCACCATTCACTCTGCACAAAAGAGAAGTGAACATGTGTCTTCCTGCCTAGTTATACAGTTTCATAAACATTATCTGATTGGGCCGCCTAACGTCTGGGTTTTCCTTCTTGATTTAGGTATCTAGCAACACCTCTAGGGTCTACCTTTTCCTCATTAAACAATTTTTGGTAAGTCAAGTTTTCTCTTAGATTTTATTTGCCCTCTATGGGTTTCATAGGTCTGTGTGCTTGGGTTACATTCTTCGTTTTATGAATGGCAACCTTTTATTGCCACATGGTTAAGATAAGCCAAGCCCCAAAACTATACTTATAAAAGTAGTGCAATGTTACTATTTGTTTCCTTAATAGGTGATGCATGCATTTTTTCCTAATGTAGGGGTTGACAGGACTAGATGAAGAGGGACAAGCAAAGAGGAATGACCTGGATTTCTTTGTGTTTCAAAGCTTCACATTTTAGTAGAAAAATGATGTTTTTAGATGTTGGACTTGTTTGAAGAAATTAGAAATTGTGTAGATTATTTAAAAAATAATAATTCTAATGCTCCTTTTGTCTTCTGATTTATTTTTATGGTGCATGGTATAAGACTATTATATCTATTGTGTTTAATTGTCATTCATCCCAAACATATTGGAAGTTTGTTGAGATGTTTGTTGAGATTTAAGGTGTCATGCAAGATATAAGAATTTCAAACTAAGACAGTCAAGTACCAACCAACTCACACCTTTCTTTATTTAATCAGCTGTCAATGATGACGTGTGATGATTTTTTGGAGGGCTTTCGAGGTAATTAGCAAAATTTCCACTCTAAACTATCTGCAGATGGTTGCTCTGGATTTGCTTTGCTTGTGCCCAATCTTCAAAATTGATGTAGTGCTTGTGTATCACCAATTGCAATATTTTGGAATTCATTCATTATTCATTTGATTGGAAATAAGTGTTGATAAGTCTGTCATTTATTTTAATCCTAATTATTACCAATGATTATACTAATAGGAATACAGACATTGTGCTGATTTTCTTCTCCTTTTGAAATATATCAGCCTGCAGTGATGATGTATGATCCATATGTTGTGTGCAAGTTTCCTGCGAAGTGCTGTCACAGCTTGCCAAAGTCGATCAAAATCACTCCCTTTCTCTCTCATTTTGTTAACCTCTTTTTCCTGTGGCTATGGTGAAGAAGTGTGTATTTCAGTCTAGATAATGATTTGGTGTATCAAATTTGCTTCTTTTGTGGTAGAAGAAAACATGGATATATTTTCATAAATGTAAGAAGCAAATTACAATCGAATTCCTCTCTGCACAAATAGAGTTATTTATGGCCTTATGGGCTTCGCACTTGATGCAATCAATCAATTCCTTCTGATCATTCTCTTGTTATTGATTTTCATGTTCTTGTGCCTCTTGTTCTACAACTTCTTTGACCTTTTCTCCAGAATGAATTGTATAGTATCTGATCATCGCAAGGCATATGAATGCTGCAAAACCATAAAACTGAATATTTCAGCTTTCATTGCACATTTTCCAGAAAGGTACCAATCTAAAACTGAACTGACCAAAAAGGTGAAACTACCTGCAAAAATGCGGGTGCGGGCAGTTGTGAGGTTCCAAAAGGCTGAAAATACTGATAGTGCTATGATCTTCTTGTGTGAGCAAGCACACCAGGCCTCCATCACCCAACATCTAATGCACTCTCCTGATTTCCTTACACATCAAATGCTTAAAATACAACTATACACAAAAGCGTGGGCAGTGGTAAAGAGTCTAGAGATTATACCTTTTCTACGTATTTGGGTAGAGTAAGATGAATAGAATCTTGGAGCAGTGAAGCTAACGAAAAACCCTGGTGAAGTATTATATAAATCGTTCATTTTTCTAGTGTCTATACACACACACACACGGTGTTGAGGATGTGTTTGGATTATTTGCATGAAGCCTTACCAAGTGCACAAAGCCTCCATAGAGTTAGGAGATGTCCATATTCAGCTCCAACCATCAGGAATGGCACCACCTAAATTGACAATAGAGGGGTCATAGCTCTGGTGATATACTTAAATGTATACCCCTATAATATATACTATCGTATAATACACTCAGAAACACACACACACACACACTCCGTATATAATATACTTACATTCATAAAACAACCACATATAACTAATGTTTATAACATGGTGAATGAGGAAAGAATACTTTTAAAATATCTGCTAAAACATCACTCTATGTTAAGAAAAAAAGAATACACTTTTGGAACATGACATAGTGAGGGAAGAAGAATACTTTAAAGTTAAAGTAATACTCCCCCAGTCCCAAAATTTACTTCCATAGTACAAATGGCACTCAGATTAAGAAAGTGAGAACTGTGTGGTGAAGAGTTGTGCAGAGGAGAGAGAAATGTGTAAGAATGTGTAAGAATTGTTGTGAACCACAAATTCTTTGCAAAAAAGGGAAAGCAAAGTTCTTTTTTGGGACAGACGGAAAGGAAAAGTTGGAAATAAATTATGGGATGGAGGGAGTACATCTTTTAAAAGTATTACTACCTCGGAACCACAATAGAAGTAATAGTTTTATACTTTTATGTATTCAATCTTTATTATATTTGAATTCCATCTTTTTGTGATTTGATAGAACTTTAAATGAAATTTCTGAATTTGTAAATTTAAAATTCGGATTCTCATTAATTTTAGGAGATTATCAAATCTCAAAACCTCAAAATCCAGTGTTGATTTCAGTTTAGGGACAGAGGAAGTCATGGAGAAAGTAAAATGAGTTATTATGTACATACTGCAGAAAGAAAAACTAGAATATTTACTTTAAGGGTCATGGCTGGCTCTCCAGAAAACACATCTCCTGTTTTTGAAATTGCAAGATTTACTGCTGGGAGAATGAATTTACCCATTCTCAAAATGTCATCTTCCTTCAGCTTCATTTCAGTCCTAGTTTCAACAATTTCTCTGCCAGTTCATGATGGAAAAAATGGAAGGAAGCAAAGAAAAAGCATGAATAGTAAATTTGGAAGAAGGTAAAAAAAAAGGAAACGGATGTCTGTCCAACCTTGGCCGGAGAGTATTCAAGATGAATGACACAGCCAGAAAGAGAAGTCCCATTTGAGACATAGCAGAGAAAATGCTGCAATCAGACAATAGTAGAATACTAACAGAAAATCAATGGGAAAGGACAATGGGTAATTTTTAAGCAGAAAAATTAATGAAGGCATAAATACGCACCTAAAGTTAATTCCACTTGCAAAACAGGAAGATAAGAAGCAGAGTGACCCAAAACCAAACCAAAGACTTGATTTTGCAACATCTCTCCACATCAAAACATCACTTATTAGCTTCCCATACCTGTCCAGATTAACCCCTTCTTCTTCTCCTTAAATAAAAAAGTTTCATTAATCAAATAGTTTGACATTATAACAGTATAACCAAGAACCAATTGAATAGGATATAGAACAAGGTCTAACTTACTTGGGGAAGGCACGGAAGGAACCAAGGCAATCTTATCTTTCTTTAATCTGGCAATTTGCCTCTTCTTTCTAGGCTTAATAATCACCTCATCTCCTACCTCAGAATCTTTTTCGTCTCTCACCATTTCCTGATCTAATCGCTTTCTGGGTCTTCTGGCGTTCCTCGGAGAAGCACAAACCGAAGAAATATTCTTGCTCCTGCGTCCCCTGCGAACCGCAACAACTGGTTCTGCACAATTATCACCCATTTCAAGATTCTCTGATAATGACTCTTGGTTTGGGACGGAAGGGGATATTTCAGCAGCAACATCGACTCGACGAAATTTAGAGCGCCTTGAAGACGATTTTGTTCGATTTCTGGGTTCAGGTGGATGAGAAAGCGGGGTCGAGACTGTTGAGTCCATGAGCGTGGCTGGTTGCTGTTATTGAATTTCCAGATGCGCAGATTTTTGAAGGGGAGGGATGATATCGAAAAGAGCCGTTGGAGTCAATTTAAGTTTTGCGATTGGCAAGATCGGCTGAACCAAAAAGAGCAGTAGTAGGATTTAATTCACAAAATGCATCGTCATTAGTCATATACCATCTATGAGTCAAATATGAGTTTAAATATGAGTCAAATCTTATTATTTCTGGTTGTAAAATTTACATACATGCTCAGGTGTTTTTTTGAAAACAAATAACTATATCAATGAAAATCGTTCTCCAACAAATCAGCAATACAATCAGGTGGTGTCCCAACCCAAGTACAATCAGACTCCAAAACAGCTTGCCTAGCTAAGATATGGGCAACCCGATTCGCTGACCGCTTCACAAAGTGGACATTTAAACTAGCAAAACCTGCCATCATATGTCTAATCTCTGCATAAATACCATCCTCATACGATATACCATCAAAAGCTATAATCCCGTTTACAACCGAAAGTGCATCTGATTCCACAATAACATGTCGTCATCCAGCCTGAGCCGCCCAATGGATAGCTTCCCGGACCGCAAGAGCCTCTGTGGTGCATACCGAAAGTCTCCCCTGCTCCCTTATTCTCTTACCAGCAACAAATAAGCCCCTTTCGTCCCTAGCAACCATCCCTAGCCCTCACCTGTCCCCGTTCATTTGAACCGCCCCGTCGACATTTATTTTAATTATACCCGCACTCAGGTGTTATGCCCGCATTGTTAAAAAATGAGTCAATCACATTCGTGTTATAAGGTGGAGAATTTTTTCGAAGTCGGCTCGAGAAACTCTTTCGAAGTGGGCTCCAGAACCTTTAAGATCGAGAACTTTTCCGAAGACCACTCGAGAAACTTTTTCGAACTGGGCTCGAGAAATGGTTATGAAGCTCGGGAACTACAGCTAGAGAGGTTTGGGTTCGGGAACTGCAGTTCGAGGTTTGGGTTTGAGAACCTCCGCTCGAGAAAACTTTCTTCAAAAAACCTGTGAACTTGAAAAAAATTTCATTTCAAAACGTCTTGCGAGAAACTACTTGTTCGATTACCTACAGCTCGAGAACTCAGTTCAAGAACTACAACTCGAGAACTAAGTTCGAGAACTAGAGCTCTAGAAGTCCTAGAACGCTTTCTTCTTCTTCTTCTTCGCAGAACCTGAAAATGCCGATTACAGAGACTTCTCCAAAAACCATATTTCAAACACTTTTGAATCAGAAAATGATCCTAATCTTTCAAAGTCAGATACAATCGTTGATTCGATCGCAGATTGCTCCGTTCGATAGGGTCGTCTTATTCGTCGATGTAAGGTCCAAAAATGCAAAAAACATCAATCGTTTCACGCTCCGGATCTGATACCAAGTGTTTGTCCTGTTTCCAACAATCAATCATTTAATAGAATACAGTAGAGAAGAGATTAACTGTGTATTCAATACCAGAAAATGATTTTACAAAACTGCGCAGGGTATGAATGTGCTCAATTCTCACTTCTCTCTCAAGCGTAGAATGTAAAATGCCTATGTGAACATTAGAGATGCGTAGGATTTACGTAAGGCAGCCCTTTATATAGCTTTAAGAGCTTAGCGTACACATTACAATAGGAAGTGGGCCTAAAAACAAGAGCGGCTCACATAATTAGTTAAACTAATTACAACACAAATACAAATAAATAGAACTTGATTAGACAACATAAAATATTCTCTGACATTTATCACATTAAGACCATTTTTATTTGATCCAAATCATATATAGGGTGCAGATAAAATGAAAAGGAGTCTTAACTCGTGTCCCGGACCTAATCAGGCCGTTCTTGGGCCTTGGGCTGAAAGATCCATCAGTATGCGATCTGGTCCATTACTTCAACAACTGTACATTTTTGTGATTGCAAAAACGTTCACTGATTTATGAAACTTTCACAAATCTATCACACAAATATCATTTTCATTCATCACATTAATGCCATTTTTTATTTGATCCAAATCAAATAAATAGGGTGCAGATCAAATGAAAAGAGGCCTTAACATGTAAACTGTGATATATGTAGTATTCATTTCTATAGCGCTACAGTTAGGGATGAGCAATACCCGATCCGATCCGAAAACCCGTTTGGATATACCCTTGGTACGTCCACCGGGTCGGGTGACCCGAACCCGAAAAACCAAACCGAAACTGGTTTCCTTAATCTTTCAGGGTAGCGGGTCTCGTGTAGGGTTTTAAAATTTGCTACCCGACCCGCCCGAAAAACCCGAAACTCCAAGTAGTATAAATACTACTTATTCACATGTAACCCTAACCCTAATCCTCTTCTCTCTTCATCGCAGACCCCTTCTCTCTTCAGTCTTCATCGCAGACCCCTTCTCTCTAACCTAATCCTCTTCTCCCTAACCTCTCGTCAATCCGATCTCTCTCATTCACCCTCCGGGCCCGATAGTTCGTTATCTGACTTGTCTCTGACTCTCTGCCTCTCCTCTCTGGCCTGTTGTTCCTCCAATTTGGTGGAAGCTTAAGAACGGTGGAACGGTGGAAGCCTACGACTATACAACACTACGAGTCCCTTGTGAGGTATAAAAGTACAAATGTTTGATTTTATAAACTATTATGGTGGTAATATACTATGGTGGAAGCCTGGAAGCTCGAACCCTAGATATGTTGTGTACTTGTGTTATACTGTTATTGTCTTTTGATATGTATTCCTTGTGTAATTATGACTTACTCATTCATGAATGGTGGAAGCCTGTTCACAATGGATTACAGATTTGTAAAATGTTAGCCTCGATGATGCCTGTTAATGTAATGTGAAGCATGATAATGTCATACCTCTGTTTGACTTATTTTTATACCTACTTGGCTACTTGAATATGGATTTGTAAACTGTGATGCATCTGTGAGATGGTGATGACTGATGCCTGTTAATGTGATGACTGATGCATGTTAATGTGAAGCCTGATGCCTATTTTTGGTACCAATTTCACTTGTATTCTGAACCGCTGAATAAGATGATGGCTGAATATAATTTTCTGAGTAAACATAATGATTCATATTTCATATATTCTGCCTCACAAGTGTTGAAGTTACCTTTTTCTACTCAAACACTCAAACGAGTAATTAGAGTGAACTGGTATCTTCTAAGTCTGTAGAGAAGAGAATAAGTTTACTTCTTATATCCTTCTGTAGATCACATTGCTGATGGTTCCAGACTTTACTGTGAATGTATTAAAGTATTTGTGATTGTCAATATGTGATTTTGTCATTTATGTGTTCAATGTGTTGATTGCATTGAGTTATTTGAACTGTCTATAGTTATCAGAATGGAAGGTCAATGTATTGATACCATACCAGCATCTGGTTCTCAACCTCCTCTGACTCTTATTTCTCAAGAACCTATGGTGGAAGCTCATGATGCTGGGCCTAACACCAGCACTCAGTAGACAACTGTTGTTGATGTGCCTGATTCTGGAAAAAAGAGAAAGGAGGTAGAGTCCAGATCCAGAATACGGGATTACTTTGACAAGATAAAAGATAGTAATGGTGTCCTTATTAAAGGACAATGCAAACATTGTGCTAAAACAAATTGTTGTCAGTCCAAGAAGCATGACACTTCATCTCTTAGAAATCACATACTAAACTATCTGAAAATTCCTCGCTCAAAAGATACTAGGCAAGCCCTTCTTAGTTTCCAACCAGACTTGTTTAATCCAACACCTGAAAATACTGGAGTGTTAGTGAATTGGGTGTTTGATCAAGGTGCAGTTAGGAGAGCACTTGCTGAAATGATCATCATTGATGAACTGTCATTTAGATTTGTAGACAAGCAAGGGTTTAGGAAATTTATCTATAGTTTGTCCTAAGTTTCAAATTCCTTCTAGATGGACAATTGTTAGAGACATCTACCCAATCTATTTAGATGAAAAACTCAATCTGAAAAGGTTCTTTAAGGAGCACACACAGAGGGTTAGTATAACAACTGGCACACGGACCTCTATACAAAGGATCAACTACATGTGTACAACTGCACATTTTATTGATCACGAGTGGAAGCTGAATAAAAAGATATCTCCTTTGTTCTTGTGACTTCCCATAGAGGAGAGTACCTAGCCAAAGCTTTAGAGTCTTGCTTGCTAGATTGGGGATTGAAATCTATCTTCACCATAATTGTTGATAATGCTAGTAGTAATGATATTGCAGTAGGGTTTTTTAAGAAAAAAACTATTGTCTTGGGATGCCTCTTCTGTAAAAGTAAAGTACCTTCATATGAGATGTATTGCTCATATCCTAAATTTAGCTGTGCAAGATGGTTTAAAAGAAGTTGATGGTTTTGTTCAAAGGGTAAGAGATGATGTTAAGTATGTTAGAAATTCACCTGCCAGGTTACAAAAATTCAAGGACATTTTAGACTTGATTGGAGTGCAGACTAAAGCTGGATTGCACCTAGATGTTCCAACTAGGTGGAATTCAACCTATCTCATGCTGAAATCTGCATTGTCCAATGAAAAAGTCTTTGAAGCTTATGAGGAGACTGAGAGCTCCTATTCTATTAATCTGCAACATGAAACTCCTGATGTTGAGGACTAGCTTGCTGTTGAAACTTTGGTAGATGTTCTTCAAAACTTTTATGAAATGACCCTTAGGATTTCTGGTTCTCTCTATGTGACTGCTAATACCTTCATCTCTGAAATATCTGATCTGTTCCTTGTTCTCAAAGATATGGCAGCTTCTGAAACTGATTCTGTGAAACTAATGGGGACTAGTATGAAATCCAAACTGGATAAGTACTGGGGTGATCCAGAAAAAATGAATATGCTTATTTTCTTAGCAAATATCCTTGACCCTAGGGATAAATTTGAGTACATGCCCCATCAATTGAATGCTTTGTATGAGGAAAAGATGACTGAGGCCTTCTTTGAGAGGATAAAACTAGGTTTGAATGAGTTGTATAGTGATTATGTTACAAACTATGATGGCTCTGTTAGTGGAAGCTCCCCTTTAACCCCAAATGTGGTTCCTTTGCAATCTGAATCAAGTGGAGGTAGGTCTGTCTCCAGATTGAAAGCCCAGTTGAAAAAACAAAAACAAGACAGTGGGGTGGTAGGATTGAAAAAAACTGAATATGAAACTTAT